TTTCTTTTGTTCATCCAAAGACGGGGTTAGAATAGTAGATTCATAGGTTTTAAGGTTACCTCTTAGCCCGTCGATGGTGACGTTGGAGACTCCAATGGATTCATAGATTGCATCGGCTTTTGACCTCCATTCGGGTGTGAGGCTTCGCAGGATTTTCCTCACGAGATCCTTGTTGGTGTAAGTCTTTTTGAGAGCATGATGGTCGTTGATGATCTTTGAAAACCGGTCGAACATGTCATCAATTTTCTCACCTTCTTTCATCCGGAACATTTCGTACTCTTGGGTGAGAAAATCGATCTTGGCTTCGCGAACTTGATCGGTACCTTTGTACGTCACTTCAAGCTTGTCCCACATCTCCTTGGCGGTTGTGCAATAGGAGATCTTTCGGTAGTCATCGGGGTTGACCGCGCAATATAGCATATTGATGGCCTTTGCATAGTTTTCAATCTTCTTGATGTCCTCGGCATCAAATTCGTTTTCGGTCTTTGGGACCGTGGTTTCTCCCACTTTCTTCATAGGGATTTCTTCGCCATTTTTGATCACCAACCACAATTGGAAGTTGGTGGAACGAATGTAGATTCTCATCCGTTCCTTCCAATAAGAGTAGTTGGTGCCATCAAAGACTGGTGGCCTAGAAGTTGATTGACCTTCTCCAATTCCTGCATAGAGATTTCTAGAAGAAGAGCCCATGATCGCTTTACTCTCAAATGGTTAAGTTTGGACGCGAGTTAGGCTCCGATACCAATTGTTAGAATAAGAGACTAACGCTAGAGGGGGGGTGAATAGCGTTTGATCAAAAATCGCAGGAATAAAAAAATGAATAAACGAGAAGTAAAGAGAAGAGTAAGAGGCACACCGATTTTACCCTGGTTCACCACAACTTGTGGCTAATCCAGCCTCCCGAGAGACTCTCTCGAGCTACACTACTACCTCGTTAAGCTTAACGGTGCTTAACAAACCCGTACAACTTGAGAATTCGAGTCACACGAACCTCAACGAACCTTCGAAGG